ATATATGTTCGTGATATATATATGTTCGTGTTATTTGTATTTTTTGCACTTAGCATCTTCGCTTTCTCTCTTTTCAACGTCTAAATATATATCTATTTTATGGATGCGTTCAGGAAATCAGGAATTTGGATAATGGTAGGGTGAGGTAAACTCTAGGTGCACCAGAGTGGTCCAGAGGTCTATCTAGACGAAGGAGTTTCTGAACGCCTGAATGATGCAATTGGGTGACTGATAAACATTGGAAGATTGAGAAAAGGCATGAAAGTAAGATTAATTGCTGTTACAATTACGAAAAAGAGATCATATTTGTTCTACAAGTCAATTGTATATTGAACATAGTGACTAAACCTACCCGACCTAAAAACCTTTCAATAATTATGTAACTTAACTTTATAAGGCACGTGATTTTATAGTGTGAAATGCGCATTGCGCATGCGATCGACTTTTACCCAACTGAAAAAATAGATTGATAGATAAAGTGATCTTAGAGTGATCTAAATTGTTTCTGAACGCTTTGGGACATTTAAATTATACGTTTCTGAACATATGAGGTGTATACTAAAGCATTCCAGAGTTCTAGGCGTAATTTCTGAACGCATCCATTTTAAGTTAAAAAATTTTTGGGGATTTCAAGCAACGCAAACGGACCTATAGACTCTAACTAGAGTCGCGACATGAGAAAGTCGCACGTTGATTGGTCCGTCATTTTCAGGAATTCCCGTCCTATATTTGCATACCCATTATTCGCGTTACTTTTAAATTTCAATATGAACAAAATTAGATATTTTAAAGATATAAACAAATAAATTTCTTTACATTACGTATCGAATGTATGAGAGAAGAAATGTTTAATTTAATACTTTTTTTTTTTTACTAAATTATTTTGAAAATTAAAATATTAGATTGTATATCTTGAAACGAAATTAATATTATAAAAGCGAACAAGTTTATTAGAATATTTATAATTTCATTAGTATTAGTAATAAATTTATCTAGTAAATTTACTCACTTCGGAAAATTTCACACGTTTCAAGATATATATAATCGGTATACATACTCTGGTACATAAAGAAAAAGAAATAAATTTTTTTTATACTTTTAATATTTATTTTACAAATTATTGTGCATCGCCATTGGTTTAGGCATTAGGTTGAGTGAAGACCCTCTAATAAGAGTCATGATACGAGCCGAATTGTTCAATTTTTGCATCGCTAGAAGGACACAGTAAAATTCAATTACTCATAATTAAAAAATCACATCGAAAGGCTAAAAGGTGCAATATGATGAGATTTTTCAATGAAAACTTTTTATCCTTTTTTGATAAATATCTGATGAGATGATGCCTTGAATGTGAGTTCCTATAATTATGGACTACGGCCGAAAAAATTAATGAATTTTGTGATAGTTCTCAAACCTTGCTAACGATGATTATTCGATGTTCTCCTCTTTTTCCCAAAAATTTATATAAAAGAAAAGATGAATTTTTTCAGAATTAATGCTCTGTGCCACATTGGGATTGGACGAATCAATGATACGTTTGTTAAATGTCTTTAGGCGGTATATTCTACGTACAAAAAACTACATCTAATAGATATCTTTATGAAGACATATATCCATGTTCGATGAAGATGTCGTTTGGACGTTCATGATGTCGAATTTGCATGGGTACTTACTTCACGGAAAAATACGATGTGCACTCTTATTCTTCATATCATACATTTATTCCGAAAAAATTCCTTTATAATGTTTTTCTTATCATCGCAAGATTATTTACTGACGTGTTTCAAATGATTTATAACGATTGAAGACTTCCTCTATCGAATGTTGTAAGAACTTTTTCTGTTAGGCGCTAGCATATGATTTTCATTGATCGCGCATTTAGATATCATTGCGTGGACTTAATTTCTCGTGCGATTGGAAATAATTATAATAATTTGGCGCTAAAATTGTATATAAATAAGTTTATTTACAGTACAGTGGTCGAAAGGCACGAAATAAATAGCTGAAAGTCGAGTTGCTCGAAATAATTGCGATTCGAGAAAGATTCGGTGTCGAAGATTCCAGAAGAACCTTATTTCCATTGTTGTCGAATCATCGCGCTATCGTGGAATTTAGCGATTCCCGTTTCTGTCTTGCTCGACGATTTTGAAACCAGATCTTGATCTGCGAACACAACAATAAGTTCGAATTTCGATAATCTTAATACCGCGCAACTTCTTTATTTATTAGTGACAGAACAAGATAAAGACGGAAGTACAGACAATCAATTCTATTAAACAGCGATTGGTCAGTTAAAGGTCGATTAAGTAATTGGCGTTGATGCACACAGAATGCTTGAAATTAGCACGCCATTCAATTTATCGCTTTTCCATAAAAGCGAAAGAATGGGCGTTCAAGTTGACAAAGCGCCTAGCCTGCTCGCCGAGCAAATGAACATAATTGATTGTTATTTATAGATCCAATCAATCATTTTCAATCGCTCGGTAAGCATGCTTACACTGAGAAAAAAATGCTGTTGATTCAATTAAAATCTATATTACGGGCTGTCACAAACATGAATGATTAATTCATGTATTTTTATTGACATAAAGGCATAAATTATTATTTCAATAATCAAGATCTTTATGTCAATAAAAATATACATGAATTAATGTTAAACTTATGTTAGTGACAGCCCGTAAAATAGACTTTAATTGAATCAACAACATTTTTTTCTCAGTGTATCTGCTTTGCCGTCTTGAACTCTTATTCTTGCGCTTTTATGGAAAATGATATTGAAATGGATTCAGAGTTTCAGAATATTGATTCACGAATGTTAAAATGAATGCTTTTCAATCTTGAATGCATTTTTATTCATTTATAGGAATTGCATGGAGTATATCTCTATGCTTTTCAATCTAAAAATAATATTAGCTTTTTCTGTGCAAAAACACAATTGTGAATATTATTCAATTCAAAATTTTGAATAGGAAATATAGTTTTTTAATCCAATTGCATTCAATTGAATCCAATTAGATCCAAAAAAAATATTCGCTATTTAAAATACATATTCGGATAGAAAAAAATTTCAATCCATTTTAATCCATTCTCGTTTGTTGGGTACTACGAGGCAAATGATTTCCGCAAACAGAACGCGGTAACGCTCATTCAGAAGAATGTTTATTTTGAAATTGTTAGAAATTTTCTTCGCTGAAACTATTTTCTAAATCTAAAAATATAATTCAATCAGCGTTTATTAAAGCGTTGTCTAAGCAGAACAACAAATCATGATATCAAAATGATTCCAAAATGATCACTAAAAGTCACTTTTTAATAATTTCCGATTCATTTTAATGTCATTTTGACATTATTGTGACTTCTGCTTGGGTGGACTTCTGCTAAACACAACCAAATAGATTTTTTTATTGCTGTACTAAACTGCACTAAAATTTTCTTTCTCGCTTTGGCTAAATATTAAGTATATAATTTATTCTATTTTATTTTAAATACAAAGAGTCTATATCAGTTTAGTTATAAAAAATAGATCTAATATCATATCGTTTTAAAGGTATTTTAATTCTCATTACAATTATGTCTTGTTTTCTTTATTTAGATAAGTTCTTTCTTAAGAAGTCGCATTTAAAAGTCTTCAGTATAAAAAATTGTGAATTGACTCAACGATATCGAATCAAAAGAAAAATCCTCGCAACCGACATACTTTGTTCTGCGGCAATCGTAATGTTGTGGACATCTCGACGACGTCGGTCCTGGATAAGTAAGCACCCTTTTTGTATTTCTCCTCTAATATCTGCAACTGGGATGAGGAGAATGGGATACGAGGATGATCGCCTGCTTGTCGCTTAATCCGTCTTTCAGTGAGAGACCTCCTAGGTAATCTCGGAGGTCTGTACCGAGTGTACTGAAGCCACGTGAGATCGGTCCACCGTGTAGTGCTCTCGCCGACGTGGTCACCGCTTCGCTGTCGTTCCACGACGATGGGAACGTATGACGTTTCGCACTTTTCCGGCTCGTCCACACCTTCCAACGTCCGTTCTCCAGCCTTCGTTCCTCTCCGGGAATCGCACTCTGAAGACTCACACTGTTTTCGCGCGTCGACGTCGGCACTCGGGAGTTCCTCCGCAAGTAAACGGGCTATGCTGAAGTCCGTGTTTCTTGTCCGCGAGCTTCGTGCTTCGCTCGTCATCCCGAGAGTTTCACTAAATCCTCCAAAAGACGAACCCTTCGCTATATATACATACATACATACGTACGTATTTTGGGGTACATGCGAACGGCCGAACCCCGTGGGGCACGTACCCCTCTTCTTTCTTTTTTTTTTGCGAGACGCATCCTCTTTTGCGGGCAGATCCAAATTAAACGCATAGTTGCATCGCACGATCGTTATCGCGCTGCTCGCACGACGGGGGCCACGCTTCTGTGTACCTGTCCCATTGTTGCGGCATGCTCTTATACCAGTGTATTATCTGTGATCTGACCACATCTTCGGGATACTTACCGGGTAATAACAATGTAATTGATACTCTGTAGCAAGGGAAATGGATCGCTGATGTAGGGAACAGATCGGGGACTCGAGAGTCCCGATTTCTATAGGGCAGATGTCCTGACGCACTGAGGCCTGTATAATTAAAAAGCCACAGGGGTCATCTTAATCCGGTAATATATCCGTCTCATTGATGTAAATATTGAACAACGTGCGGGGAACATGGTCCGGGTATATTGTTACACTATACACGTGATCTCTCTCTCTCTCTCTCTCTCTCTCTCTCTCTCTCTCTCTCTCTCTTTCTTCTTGTCTATCTATGCTCTTATGTCAGATGATACTCGAGTGGATCGAGAAACCGTTGCCTTGTATTACTGCTTGCTCAGAAATTTGCAATTTTGAAACCTGTCGTCCTCTTTTTTTTTTTTACTTTGTGTCTTCGTTTTGGGAACCTTCTCAGAAAGAGCCAAATCTATTAAAACCGGGCAATGCTAATTTATCGTTATATTCTTTATCAGCATACTTTACAGATTTACATTATATAACAACCTCTTCTTGTTTTCTTGTTGAATTCTGGTTGAGGTAATATTTTTTGCAATAAGTTGTTTACAGATTTCAAAATGTTAATATAGACGATTTAATTTAATTTGAAGAGATTAGTATTATTTCAGTTTATCTATGTCGCAAATCTGAAAAGTAATCGACGCACAGTCACATATCTGAAGAGAAAAATTTATTTAAATACATATAGACGTATTATTCCAGTATCTGATTTTGATCATAAATAGCGCTTCTCTTACTTGGTTGATGTATTCATTAGATCTTCTTCTTGTGAAAGAGACCTGACACCACAGACTTCTTAGCAATAAAACGAGAATAGAAGCCTAATGGCTATAATTAATAGTAAAAGCAATCGATATCGATGAAAGAAGCTCAAAAAAGCAAAAAAAGAAATGAACTCATCTATCAGTTTTTATAGAAACTTTCAAAAAAATTTCTGCATGCAGAAAGTAGAATATACATTATGTAATTACAGATGAATTTTGTCACATATCTTATTTATTTAGCTTTCTATTGATAAAATTAACATTTTCGATAAACTTGGCTATTTGGAATTAATTCAATGAGCCAAACGTTAGCGATATGTTTAGCTTGCTTTAGTTAATTCCAGATAGCCAAGTCTGTCGAAAACAAATGTTGCAAAGTGTCAAAATAAATTTTGTTGTTATAAAAAAGATGTAGCAGAAAGCAACATTTTTTGCATGCTGAAATACGAGAGCATAGAAGGACTGAGAAAAGTCTGACGCAATTGAATATCTCATTTAAATTGCAAAATGACAGACTCTTCCGGTCAGCAATCTGCTGATGATCCGTTTTCATCACAATCCATAACTGGATTCTTTTTTCCTATACTATAATTTATTTTTCCTTGACTTGCACCAAATTTGCACCAAAAATTTTATTAAGTTACTTATCTTTTGCGTAAGCGCGCATAAATCAGAGAAATTATTCTGTTTTTGTACGTTAATACGTCAACGTTCCGCACGAATAATGATAACGATAAAGAAATACATTTGTTTCGCTATTTGTTTAAAAATAATGAAAGGACTGATAAAGACGCAATTTACATATCAAGTGTGCATAGCAGATTATATCCTTCGAATTATTACCGTCACGCAAATGAATTGTTCGTTTCATCAGTGAAATCAAACGTAGTTATATTTCGTATTATATGCTGTAATATTATATACTTATACTTTTATAATACCGATATTTTCTAACAATTTTAAATAACAAAGGATATCGAAGGTAGAAAATTATTTAGTATATATATCTAATTGAAATTTTAATGCCGGTATATATATATATATATAATTTATTATGGTATTACTGCTCATATATATGTAAAGCAAATTATAAATAATACTTAAACAATATCGATATTATCGATTTCATACATTTAATAACCGAAATAAAAGTATAGCAAGTAGTAGTACGTAAATGTCTGCGTAAACATCATATTGAAGCGTCCAGTAAACGAGAATGGATTAAAATGAATTGAAATTGGATTTTCAAAAATATTGACAAATATTAAAATGAACGTTTTTCCTGAATGCATTTTTATTCATTTATAGGAATTGCATGGAGCATGTCTCTATGCCTTTCAATCTAAAAATAATATTAGCTTTTTCTGTGCACAACACAGAATACTATTCAATTCAAAATTTTGAATAGGAAATGCAGTTTTTCAATCTAAATGCAATTTTGCATCCAACTGAATCTAATTAAATCCAATTGAATCCAATTCCAAATCCAAAAACAAGTATTCGCTATTTAAAATACGTATTCGGATAGAAAAAAATTTCAATCCATTTTAATCTATTCTCGTTTGCTGGACGATTACGGAATATAATTTAACAATTTATGGTCTACATAAAAAAATAGAAACGAATAGAGTTCTGTCTGGCTGTATTCCAAAATTCATTGCCAGCGCTGAAAATGTACAGTTTATGTTACGTATACATACATTCAGCACTGGCAGTGAATTTTGGAATGCAATCTAGATAGAATAAGCTCATAGTGGAAGGAACTCCAGGCCTATTTTTTTCAATTAAACTTTTTGTACAATTCATCTTTTCTCTTTTTCTTTTCTAAGGGAGAAAAGAAAGAAAGATAAACCGTGCGCGAACTTTAGCTAAAACGAACAGACCTCGAGATAGAATTAGGTTAGGTAAGTTAATCTGAATGGAGGGAAAGAACAGCAGAAGGGGCTGGGCGGATAGTGGAGAGGGAATGCCAATTGCTACGAAGTACGACCAAGTGATCAAGTGGCGGCAGAGTGCGGTGGAGGCGGTTGTCTTTCAGGCATTTCGCTCACGATTATTTCGCCACGGATTTCCGTCGTGTCAGCTGTTCCTTGGCGTGAGGAGGAAAAATCCCGTTCGCCGAACGTCAAGCAAGCGACGCGCCCTGACGTTAGACGTCAGTTAGTGTGGCGGACGCGCAACCCAACGATTCATCTGGTGTGTTCCCGCGTGCAGTCGAGGAAAGATGCAGGCGAACGGCGACGGAGATCCGGTTTCGCCGAGGAAGAAACAGCGGACATCCACCGTATCGAAGGTCACGGTAGTCCTCGGGGCGCAATGGGGCGACGAGGGCAAGGGAAAGGTCGTAGACATGCTGGCGATGGAGGCTGATGTCGTCTGCAGATGTCAGGTATAATTTTCCTTCACGTTTTTCTCGCCCTTGTCATCTCCGACCCCCGTGATGTTCCTTGAGAACCAAGAGATTCACGAAATGATATTTCTCATCTGCGGGACGCGAATAACAATCGGATATCTCCCTTTCGGAAAAAGAACTCGACATTTCCCGGCTCTTTCGCGCTGATTGATCGAGGGACGTCAGGAGAAAATATTAGGTTAGATCACGCGGTATTTCCGGAAAAGATTAAAAATATTTCCTCGAAAGTAACATTTGGCATCCGTTTTGCTCTCCTCGCAGATGATAAGCGAGCATTTGGAAAATGCGAAAGTGTCGTACGTTTTATTCGCTTAGTTTTATTTTTAGCCACACCGCGTGTCACCTGACCTGTGCGCGCGAGTATCGTGAATGTATAACAACTTCATGTCTGATATTACATAATTGACGGCCATAAAAGAAATACATTTCTGAAAGAGAGAGAATTAACTCATGAAGTTATTGTTCTCAGACTACTATCTTTATGACTCAAAAAATGACAAATTATTTTTTATCTTTCACGTACCATAAAAACATACAGCTTTCGTTTTATCTTTTTCAAGGACGGCATAATTAATGATGGAATTAATGTTCTGAATAATTAATGGATTTATGCTAATATAAGAAACTCAAAATTATGTAATATCAATGTATTGTGCATATCTGTATTCGTATATGTATAGGAGAGTTAATAACGTTAAATACATGTATATGATGATTAAAAATACGTTATGTACGATTGGAATTAATGTGCTGTTTTTTGAATAGGTTCAATGAAATTATATTTAAATTGTATTGTAAATTATATAATATAATGAAGTATTACTTCACACTCTTTTCTTTTTTGCCCTTTTCTTATTTTTTATCCCCAATATGATAAACTTGTATCCGGATTTCAATGCCATTGTTTATGTTGGTGGAAAATTCTGCATCTATTCTTGATTTACAATTCAATGATCAAATCACAATGCGCTGTATTTCCTGTCATAAATAATGGCGAGCCCTGTTTCTTCAAGTATTAATGTAATTTCACAGGGAGGAAATAATGCAGGGCATACTGTAGTTGTAGAAGGTGCCGAATTCGACTTTCACCTTCTGCCTAGTGGAATAATCAATCCCAGATGCAAATCCGTAATAGGTAATGACTTCTTCAAATCAACCAGTAAATTAATTGAATTATAGATATTCTGGTTTGCGAAAAAGTAACATGTGATCTGTCTCTGTGATGATTTTAAAATTTAACGTAAAATGAAAGAATATAGAATAATACTTTATGAAGGTAAATGCTAATATCATGGATACATATAAAACAGACAATTATTCCACTTGTTCATATAGGTTGCTCTATATCTCTATATCTCTTGATATGTATTATTATCCGAATAACTTTCTGTTATATATCACAAATTATATAATTGATATTCATTTGTACTTTCTTGTGTTTGCAGGCAATGGGGTAGTGATTCATTTACCTGGTCTATTCGAAGAATTGGAGAAGAACGAATCTAAGGGACTTAAGGATTGGCAGGATAGGCTTATAATATCGGATCGAGCACATATAGTGTTTGATTTTCACCAACAGGTCGATGGATTGGAAGAACTAGAAAAGGGGACGCAGTCATTGGGGACTACGAAGAAAGGTATAGGACCGGTATATTCGGATAAAGCCGCTAGAGCTGGACTCAGGATTGGAGATCTTCTCGGAGACTTTGACAAGTTTTCCCAAAAGTTTAAAACCTTGGTTACATCGTATCAGAAAATGTTCCCTGCCCTGCATGTCGACGTTAAAGCCGAATTGGAGCGTTACAAGATGTAAGTGTAATGATCATTTTTCAATTTGATTGTAGATCCGATCATGTTAAGCGTATTCTTTATAATATATGGTTGATTTTTTCACAGATATTCTGAACGTATAAGGCCATATGTAAGGGAAACGGTACAATATTTGCATCAGGCTTTAAAGGATGGCAAGAAAGTTTTGGTGGAGGGCGCCAATGCAACGATGTTGGATATTGATTTTGGAACTTATCCGTATGTGACAAGTTCGAATTGTAGTATAGGCGGAGTACTGACAGGTCTTGGTTTACCATGTAGCACAATCGGCGAGATAATCGGCGTCGTAAAAGCCTATACTACTAGAGTCGGCGATGGACCCTTCCCCACGGAACTTTTTGATTCTACAGGAGAACTGTTGCAAAAAAGAGGCCATGAGATCGGCGTGACTACAAAACGAAAGAGACGATGTGGATGGCTCGATTTACCGTTGCTCAAATTTACAACTCGAGTTAATGGGTGTGTGTAAAGTGATTTCTTATTAAAAAACATTTTTTTAAGGATGGGCGTGACGGTCGAACTTCAACAGAATCATTTCTTTTATCGATTAACGCGATTTAAGGCTCCTAAGTAATCATCATCATATTGGATTGCAAATATTATTTAAAAAACTGCAAATATTGTTTCGAATTGACGCTAGAACCCGATAACAAAATTAATTTTTCAATGTTTTTTTTACGAAATCATTTAGTCCTTGCGTTATTGTCTATATTTATGAAAAATTTATAATTCTGTGTAATTAACAAAAAGATTACCTTATTTGAAAAAAAGTTTGTGTTTGATCGATAAACTTCAGCATCGTCTTTTAATAATTGCTCGATTTAAATTTATATTCAATATAGTATTACTTTTATCATAATCTACATATAGAATATTTTGTCTTATTCTAGATATACCTCTATATGCTTGACAAAGCTTGATATCTTAGATACCTTATCAGAGATAAAAGTATGCGTTGGATATCGGTTAAATGGGAAGGACATAGATTATTTGCCCAGTAGTACTTGGGAATTAGCAAAAGTCGAAACAGTATATAAAACAATCGAAGGTTGGCAATCCACTACCGAAGGTGTACGTTCCTTGGATAAATTGCCACCTAATGCACATAAGTACATACAAATTATAGAGGAATACTTAGATGTGCCAGGTACGTAAATGCTTTTTGCACATGTATATAATGCATATGTAAATCTACGAGAGAATTATATATATATATAGAGAGTAATTTATATTTGATTACAGTCAAATGGATCGGCGTAGGAGCAGGACGAGAAAGCGTAATCGCTCTCTGACGATACACGGTCCCTATAATGTTACTTAAACGCACGGCATTAAATGTATTATTAATTTTAATTCTATCTGTAACATTTGCAATGCAAAGCTGATGAGCGCACAGACATATTGTAATAATAAGTTTTCAGCGCGCGAGCGCGCGAATGTAGTATTAATTTTGAATCTGAGCAATGTATAATTATAACAACAATGTGAATGTTTAGTCATTTTATAGTATATATAACAAACGAACCGAAAATTATTAAAAATATCCATTATATTATCCATTTATTTTAAATAGATGATATAACGAATTTTTTAACGATTTATTTTAAATGAATATTCTGTTTTATTAGAGATATATATTGAAATGTTTGTCAGTTTTATTATTTTTTAAATCATTTTTGTTATTTGAGATAAATGTGTTGAATTCGATAATATATGCTGTCATAATCTTGTTGAGAAAGTTGAAATGTGCAAAGAAAAAAAATATATATCGGTATATTAAAAAAAAACATTTAAAATTCTTCATAAATTGATTTAAAAATCCGACATTGGCTTACGCGTGCGCACTGTCACTGCGATCCTAACCTGTAATTGTGATGTCAAATCAGTATATGAATGTATGTGTTGTATTTACGGAAGATAACTTTCCACCAGCCGGTGGGGCATATAAAAAAAAAAGTGTTAAATAACCTTAATAGATTGACACTTGGACACTCCCACAGGATTAGGAAAAAAGGTATATGTACAGTCACTATTTGATACTATAAAACAAAATCCATAAGTTTAATCATAAGTTACTTTTCTATAAAATACGATTGTTTACTAACTGTTAAGAGAGATAACCATAGTTTTTGTTCATTTTTACAAATATTTTAAAGCGATCTTATCATTTTGTTTTGTTCAAATTGTCTTTGTTTACAAATGGTATATAATAAAAATTAATGTGTCATTCCTTGCTTCTGACGTTACGATTCAATATCATACGATTCAATATCAATGGCTAAGATGACTTTTAGAATAAATAGGAATCAATGTCAAAATTGACAAATTCAAATTACGAAAGACTTTTATACATATAAATTTTCGTAATAACTTCGAATAGTTTTTCGAAGTTTAATTTGAAAAGTTTTGAGAATCCATCATATTAAATCTATCATATAAATCCCATTTAACCTTGAATATCTTATTAACTATAGTCGATATTGTAAATTCCTTTTGAATGCTCAAAGTCCTAAGAATATATTTCATTTTGATAGCAATAAAACTTCTTCGGCACCTGATATATCATAATTACAATAATTATGACTTAAATATCTGAAAATACCTTTTTTTTTACTGCAAATTTTCTCAAAATTGTGAGGTAATGGAGCAGTTCGGAAATCAGATTCGTATTATCAAGATCTAAAAAACTACGGGAGATGACTAATTGTCTTATTGTCTCATTTCAGTATTCGAAAAAGTTTTTTTTTGTCGAATAATGTAGTGATGACGATTCATGGACAGATAGTTGTTTAACTGTAATCTGTAATTAATATTTTTATATCTCAAAAACAATTAATCGGAATGAAAAATAGTAAATATTTTTTAAATTTTTTCACTTTTTTTTAGAACTTTCTTGTTGTGTATTTCAACTTACGAATTTCTATACTTTGTAAAAAAAATCATAAAGCTAACTAAATAATTGAGATGAAAGTAGGTAAGGTAATGTGAAAGTATCCTACATTTTCAAGTATAACCCGACAAATATTTGACATCTTTATGTGGTGGTACGAAATAACTCTTCCAACTGAAAGCATTTTCCAAAAAGTCATCTTTATATTCAATTGATTATGATAATTTTGCAAGCGATAACAATCTTTAAATTGTATAATATACGTAATAACAATGAGAAATAAAAAAAGAGTGAACATAGCATATGCAGGATCCTGAAGTTTGCGAATTAAAATATCATAGCAAGAAAGTTTTTTGGAAAAATTAATAAATTACGTAAAAAGTTATTTGGGAATTTCTATACTTTGTATAGAAATTAGTTTTAATATTTATTATTGTTACATTTAATATGGATTATATAATAATATAATTTTTAAATCTAATGTCTTACTTTAGCATTACAAAAAAGTAACAAATCGTTACTTTCTAAGTAACCATAACGATAACGCATTACTTTTAAAAATTAGTAACGAATAATTGTATTATAAAAATTAGTAACGAATGACGTTATAAAAAAAAATAGTAATAGTAATGTATTATTTGTATAAAGTAATGTTTCTAATGCTGTTTTAACATTAATATCTTTAATCCATTTTCATAAAAAAAGAATTTATGTTTAAAATTAGATAATACAATTAACATTTACTAACACAATCAACATTTCTATCTGAATACTCGTATGCTACGTTTACTTACTGTTTCACAAACATTCCTCTATGTTTGTGAAACAATGCGAAATGTGCATGTGAAATGTGTTCAGTTTTACATATTTCGGCGAATTGTGTGACGTAGGATCAGATGTGTCTTGAGTCTTAATTTACCTTACAAAAAGTAAAGAAAAAAAATCATAAAGCTAACTTGAAATAATTGAGATGAAAGTAGGTAAGGTAATGTGAAAGTATCCTACATTTTCAAGTATAACCCGATAAATATTTGACATCTTTATGTGGTGGAAATAACTCTTCCAACTGAAAGCATTTTCCAAAAAGTCATTTTTATATTCAATTGATTATGATAATTTTGCATATGATAATAATCTTTAAATTGTATAATATACGTAATAACAATGAGAAATAAAAAAAGAGTGAACATAGCATATGCAGGATCCTGAAGTTTGCGAATTAAAATATCATAATAAGAAAGTTTTTTGGAAAAATTAATAAATTACGTAAAAAGTTATTTGGGAATTTTTTTAGCAGTTTTTGAGATATAAAGATAGAGATTTAAATGGCCAACTGAAGACCTTTAAATGATCACCTGATTAATAATAATGAATATGTATTAATAAGAATACTTGGCAGTGCTCGCTGATACTATCGTAAGCACGATAATTCAAAAACAGATGGTCGTCTAACGCAGTCTGTAATTAGTCATATTTAAATCTTTATTATCTCAAAAACTACTATCCAAAATAAAAATTTACAAATAATTTTTTTACTTAATATTTTGAAACCTTTCTTGTTATAGTATTTTCATTACCTAATTTCGTATACGATAGCCTATATGATAATCTTAAAAAGGAAATTCTGGATGCTTTGATAGACTTTTGAAAAAACCTGACCTAAAATCACACACGCGTGCAGATTCTCCCATATCCAAAGCATTTAACTTATCAACATCTTCAGTTTCGAGTTTCCAATCGAATAATTCAATATTTTCTTTAATTCTTAAAGGATTAACGCTTTTCGGTACAGTCGCTATACCTTTTTGAATTATATGTTTAAGTAATATTTGTGCAGGCGTTTTTTCATATTTTTTTGCAATTTCTAATACAGTTATGTTTTTTAATGAGTCCGGTACAGTGTCTCTCTTACCTATTTTTTCAACAAATCCACGTGAACCCAAAGGAGCGTACGCTGTTACACTGATGTCGTGGTTCTGACAAAACTTCACCTATGATACAAAGAATATCAATATATATTTTTAGATTAATAAAGTTACAGTCACGAAACAAATTATCCAGATTGTCATTTTCGAGTTCTTCAAATTATTTTTCGGATGTTAAAAATTGTGATTCCACGAACGCATTACGACACTGATAGTTTTATAATTATCGAAATATAAATATAAATTATCATTTATCACAATTTTATTTATATCATTATTTGCGCGACGTCTTCTGCGATTCCTAGTACTCTTATTCTTTCCAATTTCTTTTGATTTATAAGGAGTCATTGTTTGATTTGTTATATTAATTATTACGAAAATCGCAAAATGGTAAAAGATTTTTCCCTTCAGTTTAATCTGTTCTATCTACCCGTAAGAAATAGCATGTTATTATTATCAAACTTCAGTATAAATAAAAATTCATAAGATAAAATAAGATAGATACCAGTTTGTTCTGTTGGAAATGCACATGTAATTCAATTTGCAAATTGGAAACAGGTAATTTAGCGTTATCCAAAATTTTTTTAATTTGTGTAATGTTAAAGTTGCTCAATCCAATCGCTTTAGTACGTCCTTGCACTACTTGATTCTCCATTGCAGACCATATTTGTAGATGGTCTGTATCAGTATCAATCATTATTTCTCCTTGTTCATTAAGAGGATGAAACTCTTCTCCAGCATCTTGATATGCAAATGGAGTATGCACAAGATATAAATCTATGTAGGTCAAATGCAAATTACGAAGTGATCTTTTCAGCCACTTTTCTATATCACCGGATCTGTTACCACTAGGAGGTACCTATAGATATTGAATATAATAAAATAGTAAAATTTATTATAATAAAATAAACGGCATTACCGTTTTTATTCAACTCTAATATAATTTTATTATTGACTATGCCATTAATTTTATAAAAAATTTTATTATTTCTACTTATTTTATTATTGTAATAATTGAGTAATATAATTGTCAGTTACATCTGGGTTACATTGTACACTGGGATTTCCAATCATTTACTATCTACATTATTTACACAGATGATGAATGAATGGAAATAAACTCGAATTATTTCATTAAAATATATATACTATTTAATATGCAGTTCGAAGATTATGCAATGACATGCTACTATGCAGATAATTGAGATTTCTTTTCTATCTATTTATTATTACTGCATATAGATATTTATATTTACATTATGTTTAAAATAAATATAATAGTATAATTCTAGTGTACCTTAGTCACAATAAACAGATCGGATCGCTTGATTCTGCCTGAATCCAACCATTTTTTTAAGACGTTACCAATAAAACGTTCATTTTCGTATACTGTAGCCGTATCGATATGCCTATATCCGGCTTTCAAAGCTGCATCCAGAGCTGCTTCTAGTTCTTCTCCGCTTGCCTGGGGATATTATAAATATATCTTTATAAATAAACAAACAACACACACACACACACACACACACACACACACACACACACACACACACACACACACACACACACACACACACACAAGGTCCTCCTAATAAGAAAATTCCTTTTTATCTCACAAAGAGATAGACAAATATGATATTAGACTTAGTGATTTAAAACAAGTACAGTAGTTATTTATAAAAATTATTTACATCAGGAGAGGCATAACTTTTTGCGTGCACACATGTGTGAGTATATATATATATAAAGTATTTTAAATAAAATATAATTGCATATACATATATGTATATGCATATATAAAATATAAATGCATATTCAAATATAATATAATTATGATATAAATAAATTTCGTTTGGATTAAACTACAATTTCTTTATAAACTTACGTGCCATGTTCCAAATCCTAAAATGGGCATTTGTTGCCCTGTTGACAGAGATATACTTGAATTTTGTTGAGCCATATTCAATGTCTTATAACAACGTAGAAATCAAACTGTACGTTTTAAAATCAGGATGGACTATATTACTATATTCCACCACTCCCGTATTCTACCACACAACTTTCACTATATTATACAGCTATAGGCTTTTGTATAAAATATATATCTGTATTACTGTCGAAAATTGCAAAATGGTAGAGAACTTTTCTTCTCAATTTAGTCCATTCTATCCCTATGCAAAAGATCATTTATCATTATTTATATATTTCTCAAACATCCTATACATCCACTTCCATTTGCATTTTCAATTGAATTCATGATGTTAGCAGTCTAGGTAATTTATTTATAGATAAGATAGGTAATTTACGTTTATTATTTTTAGCTAAACTTATTAGCAGTTCATTTTTTTTCTTTTTCCCTTTATATTGCAGAAAAAAAAGAGAAAATATGAATCGAGCAAAAAATTCAGAAAAAGAACAACCTTTAAATGAAAATCTGTAGTTCATCTAATAATTTCCTATTCTTGTAATCACTGAATCCATCAGCTCAAGATTAAATCTTTCTTGACAGATGTATCATTATTAATAAACATATTGAATGCGGGTGATGTAATATTTCTGCTATAAATTTAGAGTATGTGAATGCTAAAAAGAGAAGATAATTTCTTGACGAAGATACAAAATCGTTAGGGAGAGAATCTTTCTCTAAGTCAGTATTTGCTGAATCTCGATATAAGCAAGCAAATTCCAGAAATTGCAAATAAATATGTCAAAGTGTAGTATAATAATAAATTCATTTCCAACATACATATAAATGATTGTTCTTCTTTATTTCTGAAATTAAAGAGTAATGTTGTTTTTATAAATTCATTTTATATATAAACATATTAAAAAAATATATATATTCGTTATTGATTATTTCAGATATCTGATTATCTATCTATAAATGTATATTTGCATAAATTGTGGAGCTGAATGCAAAGAGCTTTTTAGGAGATATTGCCCTAGTGTTCTTAAAATCTTAAAATGTGTAAGTAAAACATGAACTCATGCTTTTATATATATTGCATACTGACAATTTTACACTATTTTAGGAGAAATGTGGATTGTTAGCTGACAAATATATTGAATATGATCCTGTTATAGTCTTTGTAGATCTTATTCTAATAGAAAAACCAGCTTACAGACATCTTTTGTACAATAGCAATTTTAAATCATATTGGAAGATAAGTATAATATTATGGCTAGCTGAATCGTTCAGGGCTTGGTCTTTGTGTGACATAAACGAAACAGAATTAACTGCGTCAAAAGTAGATTTAATTCAAAATAATGGATTACAAGATTATTGCAATATTTACAATTTGCTGTTGCACACAGCATTAGCATTTGCAGCATTCATTTGTACGATTATTGTAGTGACTGAACTAAAATGGTTTATCATTGGCAAAAAACCATATAAATACAGCGTAAAAGATTTAAGTTGCGCTCTAATAGTCGGAGGTTGTGGTAAATTATTGGGATTACTTGGAATAGTGTGGCAGCACATAGCTTCGGGTCCATATTACCTTCTTATTCAAGGTTACACCGTTTTATGTCTTTTAACTGCATATTCAGGTAAAAATGTACACTTTACGTAAGACATTCATAATTTTTATTGCAACTTTGAAATTTACATTCTATTTATAATTTATCTTTGATCAATTATTTAATAATACATACAGTATATCTCGGTTTTTTTTTATTGCAGTTATCTGCAAGAGTGGAAGGGGAGAATCTTTGATTGGATTAATTGCTGGATTTTTACTGTATGGTTACATATGTATCTAAATTGCACCTAAATATTTCCAATATCACACTAACATGACATAAAATATCCGATAAAACCACTCAGTTTTTGATGTTCAAGCATCTTTAACGGGAAGAACACTCCAACCTAATACTAGTCTATCAAAACCACAAGAAAATAAATTACACACACTGCTGTCTTCCAACCAAGCAACAGAACACACCATCCTACGATGTCCCTACAAATATAATTATAATTATTTTTTATTAAGATATATTTGTAATTTAAATGATATATTTCAAGAATAAAAAAATTTGATTGTGTTACGCATTTTTATATACTTAATAATGGTACAATATGAAACAGCAAAATAGAAATTTAAATCTCTTACATTTTATATATTATATATTAAGTTCGTAGCGTTTTTCCCATTACATCTAACGGAAAAAACGCCACGAACTTTTTCCCATACCTAATATAAATCTTTAAATCTGAGAATATTAAAAATAACTGATGTGTAACTTTTTATTTTAACGATCTCTCCTTTTATTTATAGATAATGTATATATCAGTTAAACCGTTATATTACTAATTTAGTCAACTAATTACAAAGATAAGTTTTGTTATGTAATTATAATATATCTTTTCTTACCTGTCTACTAGTTCTAGGTAACCTTGCCAAACGTTGACCACTTAGATCAAATAAACGTATTTGTCTATTGTCGTGTGGTATTGCCACTATCCCGGTACTAGAAACTGATAATCTATTAGCAGCACTATCTCCACGTATTGTCGCTAATGGACTACGTATATTACGCAATTCCCATACTTTTACACTTCTATCATCCGAACCAGATACAATTTTATCTTCCCTCGTAAAGACTGCAGATGTTACTGTTCTATAAGAGAGACATGCTTATTAATTTTACGCATTTAATGTTATAAACTGAATAAACAGATTGAATATTAATTAGAAAAAAACTTGCTCTTATTAGTATACATACTCAGTATGACCTTGAAATACCGAAACCGAGTGGATTGATTCTCTAAAATCCCACAATCGAAATGTATTGTCTCTACTGGACGTAACACACAATTTTTGCGTGTGATGAGTCGACACGTGAGTTAATTCTTGATCATGTCCGCATAGTGTATGTATAATTTCCCCGGTTTCCGTGTCATACAAGTTTGCTGTTCTGTCCCAAGAAGCTGTGACTAACTGTTCAGCACCAGAGAGCCAATCTGCAGCCATTACAACGTTCGTGTGACCCAAAAGTTCGCGTATCGGCGTTCTCAGAGTCGGGGGATCGTCTTGCTCATCATTGTTACTGATTAGATTATTAGCAGTTCGTTCGGAACTCGCTACTGGAAGTTCTTCTAATGACGATATTCTTTTCGACATATCCCAATCAACAGCTGCCTGCCACACGTGAGCGGAACAGTCGCCACTCGCCGATAAAGCCAATTCTCTATTTGGATGAAACCGAACCGAATTCACGGATCCATTGTGACCGATATATTGTAATAAACATCGATTATTATCTATTGCCCATATACGTGCTGTATAATCAGCAGAAGCAGTCGCTATGATGGGTTGACCTAATCTGCCGACGGATACCTCCCACACACCATCTCGATGACCCACATACTCTTTTTGCATAGTGCAATTCATAGATGGAGTTTTAAAGCTTGATACTATTTTACTAGTCTGTGCTTTTAATTTGTGAGAAGTTTTAATTTTTTGCGCCGAGTTTGCACCCATTGCTACAAAATAAAGAAGAATTCTTATTACAATCCAAGAATTGAATATATAACATAATAAAAATTATTGAGTTTTAAAAAATTATTACCATATACTAGCTATGTATTCTATCTTTTGTATCATTCTTATTAAATCTCCTGGAATAGATAGATGAATGGAAAATATGTCATAAAATTACATAATGAAGATAATAAATAGGATTATAAATATTTAAAAAAAGTTTAAATATTTAAAGCTGTATGGCACTTATGAAACTAAATAAAAAATACATAAATTAAATTGTCAGAAATGAAAATAATTTAAGAAAATAATTTCTGGTGTAATTTAATGAATACTATTATCTGAATGTTATATATTTCTCTAATAGTCTTCTAAGTGGTAATTTGAACTTTCTTGAATTTCATTCTTTTATAATGTAATATACAAATTAAAATATATTTTTATATCAATATTGACGTTAATATTATAATAATCTTACATTTTTGCTTAGACAGATTTTTTGTTTCTGGATAATCCGTAAGATCTCCTGGAGGTAAACTGCGTTCGCCTGATCCATAACACTCTCTTTCGAGTCTTTCATTTAGGATGTCGATCTTCTCTTGCACTGTAATAAGAAATAGAAAATTCAATATAACAGCTATATTAAATGGTGAAATAAATAATAAAATAAATAAATAAAATGGTGAATTTACATGCTTGCATTACATTGGATTATTATTTTTATCAAAAGTTGCTTTATATAAATTATCTCTCTAAATGCAGTGGCATAGTATAGATAATCAATTTTCAATGAAATAATATATGTACAATCTGTTAAATAACATGATATTATCAAGTAGTTAATCATTTAAAATAAATATTTTAAATATTTTAAGATAAATATTTTAAATGACACACACACATACACACACACACACACGCACACGCACGCATGCGCACACACGCACATATTAATATATAGATAGCAACTTTTAGTATATACTAATCTAACATAGTGTACTAACTGAATTTGTCATAAAAAATACTTACACCCAAGATTTTCCGTATACAACATTTCAAATTCCTTTTCAATTTGCTGAAAGAGATCATACAAACGACATCTCACAGCCGATGGGATGGGGCTGTCCTCTAACTCCGAACGGAAGGTGACATAGTGCAACGCAGTGGGTTGTAGTGGGGTCGAACCGCTCTCACTCTGTTGAGACTGTAGTTCTGTGTCGGTACTGCTTTGCACACGAGGTATAGAGATCCTCTTTGCCTTGCTACTGGATTTACTTCCAGCTGTGGCTGGTGGTTCGCCGGGCATGACTCGTCACTTAACAAAAATGACATAAACAGCAGACAAGCATGTCCCAGTACTTCGTCCCCACAGCATACATCACCGATCACTCCGACTTCAGCGCAGGAGTATGGTCTGGCATTATTAATCTGCATGCATACTATTCATGACCTATCAACAGAATACATCAATTAGATTAGAAGTGATTATGATCAGCGAAATGTTGAATGACATTCTCGGTCTTCTGTTAAATTGGCTGCCATCAATCAGCGTATTCTCGTCTCTATTATGAACCACGATAAACACAAACGTCGAAGTAGACTTCAAATTCGAATAAAAACATGCCCTCGAATTTTCGAGATCTTTGGATGCACGAAAGATTCAAGATATAATTGGACCAGAAAAACAATAAGACCTAGTGTGTCTCTGTCGAGGAATTTCTCGTGATTAATTGCCGTCAGATCTGACAAATGTGTTTCCATATAATTTTATACGCATGATTTCTAACACTGATCCGCTGTTCTCATATTGCATTTCTCTCGATATCATCACTCAACTGCTTCCGAAATCATCAAAATCGCGCTGTGACTGGTTCTTAAAAGAGAAAGAATGTATCTAATGACACATGATATGAGTTTACTCCAGTTTACTCCCTCGAGAGTGGAGACCGCGTATTGGTTGTTCAAGTCGCGAGACAATCATTGAGAATTAACCGAATTAACGGGACGAGATTAATTATGATACTCGCCGCTAATTTCGCGCGTCTTTTCACGCTGATGATGTTCAATGATGTTACCGAATGAAAATTTACATCTGTAATGTCGTATTTATTTTCGGCGCTTTGTGGCACCTCTTCCTTCTCGTTGACACCGAGCACCATGTTTATTACATTTTACACAGAAGATGCATTTACAAAGAACTGCGTACGATGAAGCAATAATGAATGTGATATTATACCGAATTCAGACTATGTTCAATATTTAACAAACGTTTAAAATATCTAATGGAAGAATCGGTTTTGGCTGTGTTCCAAAATTCACTGCCAGCGCTGAAAATCTACAGTCTGCATTACATGTACTATACATTTTCAGCGCTAACAGTGAATTTTGGAACACAGCCTTTGTAATGCGGGGTCAATAGACAATAGAATTGAAATCGTAGCAATCGTAGGATCTTAAGTCATAGAAAATTAACTAATCACAATTAAATATGAGAAGAATAATTAACTATGATTGGCCAATTTTTTATGACCATACCGCCATGATTTCTATTGTAAACTCGACATTAAGGTTCTATATTAATAGAAAAAACATTAGTCGCATCGCAGCGTCGCAAGCGTTGAGGTTCAATAAACATCATGCTAATTCGACTCTGACTGCAACAATTACGACACACTTGCGATGTTACAATGTGTGACTAATGTAGAACCAGCTTTAAAGGTTCTACATTAGTTGCAAGCTGATTACAAGTTTGTTGCGATAGCTAATCTGCAGCTTGCATTTTGAAGAAACCGACGCTTCATACTTGTTACTCTTGCAACTAATGTAGAATCGGTTTAAGGCCATTCTACATTGGTATCGTGGAGTCGAAAGCGTCGTAAGCATCATACGATTTAAAAATTGAAGCATCGGATTGGCTAAAGCAACAAGCTTGTTACTTGCGACGTCACAATATGACCAATATAGAATGGTCTTTAAGGAATCTTGATAATTATCCAATATTGACAATCAATCCTCTGCCTGTGGACTTCACACAATAAAAGGAACCATGTATTCCACAATACATGATTTCTGATAGATTGAAATTCTTATTCTTTGTTCTCTATTCTCTATTCCTTTTATTGTGCGAAGTCCCTAACATATCGATGGTTACTGGATATTGTACTGGAAATCAGCAAATGGAAATACATCCGAAATGATCATATTCATAAAACGCTGCCTTAAAGTCATCTGTGTATCAGCTTTAAAAACACCTCGAAAATTTCCCGCCGAAATTGACGATTTCGGCAGCGTGATATGGCGTGACATTCTTGTTGATTTTTTTTTCATTCGCTTATATTAGGCTTCTTTAAATAGTGTTTTGAATAAGTGGCTGGTGCTGGTATTGCTGGTAAATAAGTAGCTCACGCGAAATGGAAGGTTTCGACGATCCAGGAGTATTCTTTTCTGACAATTTTATGGTGGAGAATGAAGTTCACGAGAACCGCGTAAATCTTCAACACTCGAAAAAGAAATTTAAAGAGTTCATCCGACAGTTTCACGAGGGTAACTTCAACTACAAATATCGGTAATGAAGAAAGATTAGATATTCTTTTCACCTGCAATTCCATCTGATGTTTTAGTATCGTTTAATTTTCTTCAGGGACACCTTAAAGCGCAATTACAATCTCCGTCAATACTGGATGGAGATCAATCTCGAGGATTTAGCAGCTTTCGACGAGTCTCTCGCGGAGAAGATCCAAAAGCTTCCAACAGAATACTTATCCGTTTTAGAGGAAGCTGCGAAGGATGTTGCTGACGAGCTAACGGCACCTCGACCTGAAGGCGAGGAAAAGATGGAAGACATTCAGGTCTTGTTATGTTCAGATGCTCATCCAAGCTCCTTAAGGGGAATGAAGGTGCCATAATTCTCATAATAATGTATAGAAATAATAAAACTTGCAAAAGTTTCACTGTCATCAATTTATAGGTTGACAAATAAATTTATAAAGAAATTTTAGATCCTCAGAATAAATACAGTATTTTGTGATAAAACTGACAGAATGTATTCTAAGTTTATTCTAAGCAAAATAATTCATATACACTATAAATATTCAACTTAATTATCAAAGTTTAAAGAACTTAAGTTATCAATAATGAAAATTTACTAATTGACCAAGCATCTTTCAACTTCTTTTTGTAAAATTTGAAGTCTGCAAACACAGTAGTGTTTCAGTGACAAATATATGTCACAAAGTGTAAATGTATATACTATACTTTTCATATAGGAACAGATTACCATCAGTAATATATTTTCTGAGTTAACACTTTGACATAATATTGACAATAAATTCAGCACACTTAACAGAATAATTGAGGTTGTAAACCAAGTACAAACAACATTTGCATTGAAATTAATTAGCAATAATTTATACAAAAAACACAACATCATGTTTGCAAACAAAAAAGATAGATATTTTAAATAATTAATATACTTAGAAACCATTTGTTTCATCTTTGTTGAATAAATTATTATGATATGTGATATTTAGCTAATAGACAAGAGAAAGAGCAAAAAAAAAAGAGGACAAAAGTGGAACAATCCAACCTAAAAGAATAATCATAAAAATTATAAATGTTTATATTTTTTTCTGTTACAATATTAATTATATCTTGATGATTGATATAAATTGACCTATAGTATATATGGACATTTTTGCTTAGAACAAATTCAATAATAAATTCTTGTAGTTTGTTAGTTTTCTTGTGAAAACATCCTGTATAATTCAAAAACTGATTTTAATATAATTGCTTCACTGTTGCAGCCAGATATTGTTTCAAAGCTCGTCAAAATTCCTGGTATAATTGTTTCTGCATCTGGTATCAGATCAAAGGCGACAAAGATAGCAATACAATGCCGGTCTTGCAAAGTCACTCAAGTCAATATTCCTATTAAGCCTGGTCTAGAAGGATATACATTACCCAGAAAATGTTCCACGTAAGTCTCCTTTCGAAAGTACTTAATTATTCGCTTTATAATATATCACACAATTTTCATCTGTTATTAGGGAACAAGCCGGTGTAGGACCAAAGTGTCCCCTGGATCCTTTCTTTATAATGCCGGATAAATGCCACTGCGTAGACTTTCAAGTGTTAAAGCTTCAGGAGTTGCCGGATCATATACCGCAGGGTGAAATGCCCAGGCATTTGCAGTTATATTGCGATCGGTATTTATGCGACAGAGTTGTACCTGGTAATAGAGTTCTGATTCTGGGAATATATTCCATTAAGAAAGTATCTAAGACAGGTGGCAAAGGTACAGGCAAGGAAAAGACATTAGTAGGCGTTCGAGCTCCATATATTCGCGTTCTTGGTATTTCTGTAGATGGAGAAAATACCAACATAGGTTGGTATAACGTAATACAAAAATGAAACATTTAAAACATCAGTTGGTGATTTGCATTAATTTCTTTTTCTTGTATTTTCTATGCAGGAACTCAGCCCCCCGTTACGTCTGAAGAGGAAGATCTTTTTACCCGTTTAGCAGCAGATCCTAATCTGTACGAGAGAATCGCGAAGAGTATAGCTCCTAGTATTTTTGGTGCAATAGATATCAAGAAAGCTATCGCATGTTTACTGTTTGGAGGTTCGAGAAAATTAATGCCAGATGGCTTGTGTAGGAGAGGCGATATTAATATTTTAATGCTGGGTGATCCGGGTACCGCTAAGTCGCAGTTGTTGAAATTTGTAGAAAGAGTTGCTCCTATAGCTGTTTATACATCGGGAAAAGGTAGCTCCGCAGCTGGTTTGACAGCGTCTGTATCGAGAGATCCAGTAACTGTAAGTTATATTCTTGTTAAACATTTTTTTATATTTGCAATTTTTTGTAATTAATTTAACTATATAAATTTATTTTAATGTAAATATTTTCCATGTATATACGACAGCAACTATCGTTATTTTCAGAGAAATTTCGTTATGGAAGGTGGCGCGATGGTTCTCGCGGATGGTGGAGTTGTTTGCATAGATGAGTTCGACAAAATGAAGGAGGATGATAGAGTGGCGATACACGAAGCTATGGAACAACAAACGATCTCTATAGCGAAAGCAGGAATAACGACAACTCTGAATACACGATGTTCTGTGTTAGCAGCAGCGAATTCAGTCTTCGGCCGCTGGGATGATATAAAAGGAGAAGAGAATATAGATTTTATGCCGACAATATTGTCACGTTTCGATATGATATTTATTGTTAAAGATGAGCATGAACACAACAGGGATATAACATTAGCTAAACATGTTATGAACATTCATTGTAATGCTGGCCAGATCACAGAACAATCGATAGAGGGAGAAATTCCTGTACACATTCTCAAAAAGTATATAAACTATTGCAGAACGTAAGTTTGCTATATCTTATCACATATAATGTGTAACATTTTATAAAGTATAATATGTTTTTCTCTAATTTTTTTTTTTTTTAATAGACGTTGTGGCCCAAGACTCGGTTCAGAGGCAGGGGACAAATTAAAAAATCGTTACGTTATGATGCGAGCTGGTACAAGAGAACATGAGAAAGATGCTGAAAAAAGATTATCGATACCTATAACAGTCCGGCAGCTTGAAGCTATTATTCGAATTTCCGAAGCCTTGGCCAAAATGCAGTTACAACCCTTTGCTACTGAACTCCATATTAATGAAGCTTTAAGGCTTTTCCATGTATCTACATTGGAAGCTGCAATGTCTGGTTCATTAGCAGGTAAGCTATAAATTGATAAATATAGAATATATTATATTTGGTATGTGTAGCCGAAAGAAAATACTTTCGAAATACAAAGTTTTATTAACGTGTATATTGCGATCTGTCATCAGGAGCAGAAGGATTTACCTCTGAAGAGGATCATGAAATATTGACCCGTATTGAAAAACAATTGAAGAGTAGATTTCCTATTGGACATCAAGTATCTGAACAAAATATTGTGAAAGATTTTCTTAAGCAGTCATTTCCAGAACGCGCTATTTACAAAGTTATACATACGATGATACGCCGTGGTGAACTTCAGCATCGTTTACAACGTAAAATGTTGTACAGACTGCATTGAAAAATAACAGAAACTTCTGCGATATATAATTACATAATACATTTAATGTATCATGCTCGTTTGGTATGTTATGTATTTCTTTTTTTCAACTATTTTTATACAAACTAATGACTTGCATGTTAAATTATAATTAAGGAAGTTCATTTTTAAACGGATATTGTGGATGATGTTCAATTCTGAAACAGACAACAAGTAAATTTTATATGAATTTTACAATTTTTATAAATTATAAAATATAGTCTTAAATACAGTTTTATGACGAAATATAATAATCAAGATGAAACATATTTTTTAACACTTACCCTTTAAAAAATAAGAAATTAAAAATTCGCCCATCAGTACCTTTATCTAAAGTATTCAAAACTTCCATGTTTTCTTCTGTTAAGGAAAAATCGAATAAATCGATATTTGATTTGATTCTTTCTGGGGATGAACTCTTAGGGATAATTACAACACCTAGTTGTAGTAAATGACGTAATAAAACTTGTGCTGTCGTTTTTTTATGCTCTGCAGCAATTTTTTTAACAATCGGGTGATTTAGCAAGTCAGAAAATGCATTTAAAGTGTACTTATATTTTGCTTGAAAGTGCTTCTTTGCAGCTGGAGAGCCTAATGGACTGTAACCTGTTACAATGATATTATACTTTTTGCATAATTCTCGAATTGGCGTCTGCTGCATATATGCATGTAACTCTACCTAAAAATATTAAATATCGTTATCTCGATAATGTCTTATCGATGAGAACTAAATTGCACTTAACAGATAAATTTATATATCGCTCAATGATTTACCTGTAAATTACTTGGCTTAATTTGTGCGTTTTTCCAAATAGTCAAAATCTGCTCTTCGTTAAAGTTGCTTAAACCTATAGATCTAGTGCGTCCTGATTCAACTTGCTTCTCCATCTCCTGCAAAATAATTTTGCTCTTTCAAAGATTTCTTTTATATCAATTTGTTATACAAAATTGATTCCATACTTTCCACACTGAGACAGGATCTGTGTCAAAATCGAGTATGTAACTTCCATCCTCATTCGTTGCTGCACTGAATGTATTTTCATTGAATTTAAATGCGAAGGGCATGTGAATAAGATACATATCTAAGTAATCCAATCCAAGTTTCTTTAATGACAATTTAATGAACTTTTCTACATCAGATGGTCGATTACCAAAATTGGGTAACTAAAATAAAATTTAGAAGATTCTTTAAATACAGTTATGTTTTTTTAAAAGACAGCAATATTATGATTATTAAATAGTAAATTGCGACAACAATCAACTCTACTGAACTTAAAAACGATACATTACCTTTGTTGTGATAAAAAGTTCTTCTCTAGTACCACCTTTGTCAAACCATTTTTTCAAAGCTCTGCCAATTGCATCCTCATTATTATAATTTGCTGCTGTATCAATATGTCTGTAACCACATTCTAAGGCAGTGCTCACAACAGTTTCAATCTCTTCTGGTTTAGCCTAGAGAAAACAGTTATTTTACTCTTCTCACCAGATCATTTCATATAAACATTTTGTTATAAAATTTATAGTGATGGCAAAAAAATATGATTGATAAGATACATTACTATTATCAATTATCACAACATTCTAATATTATTTTGTCACCTGCCATGTTCCCAGTCCCACTGTAGGCATATCATATCCTGACAGTAACTGTATAGAATGCATGCTAAATTCTTATTGATGTTCTACTATGACAGATGTAGCACAGTTGTCAAATTAAAATGTATTAAAGCAGCATTGCCATTTAGAAGTAGTTCCACATTTAAGTTCGTTACATCATATTAATTTTAGATCAAGTTTCAAGATTAATGTAGTGGTGATACACTTGGACAGGCCGTTTCTAAAGTTAGAATAGCTGTGAATAGAACACTAGCGAACACGCGAGTCTTCGAGGTCTCCGCACATAGCAATCGTAGTCATATATATCGTTTCAAAGTCGTATTGATTCGAGGAGGGTTGCGCCGCAGATAATTGATTTCAACAAGAACGTGTGCTATCTTGGGAAGAAATAAAATTAAAACAGACCATCATGGATAATATTTGAAATTTATATTAAAAAATGCTGTCGAATTTTATACCACTATAAATTATATGATCACATATAACTTTTTCCGCTAGAGCGGAAGCGTGAAAAGTGAAAATTTTTACGTACGTATGTTCGTACATATACACACATACATACAAAGAATTTTCATTTTTCACGTTTCCGCCCTAAGGAAAAAGTTACATAATCACTACCCTTAACTGAATCTCATTCAGACCACCAGCTTCCGTCTCCTATTTTTCACGTCGTATTGCACGTCGTCAATATCATTCAACTTTCAAGATTTATCTCTCCGTTTTTTGGTATTTGACATTCTATGAAACAATAAACTAAAACAAATGATATCGAAATTGAACATTGGCGGTGTTCCAAAATTTACTAAGAATCTACAATGCGCGCAAGTGCACGTGACGTAAACTATAGATTTTCAATACTGGCTGGAACTT